GCACTGTACAGTACGCTCCCGGTCATGTTGTTTAACAACACATCCTTTCGTGGGATTGGTGTTTGGGCCGGCACCGTTGCGTTGTTCCGCTTGTTATAAGCGTGAACCAGACGCCAATTTCCGTTCGGCTTTCGAACGCAGAAAGTCGGCGTCGAGTGCGGGGATTTCGACTCCCGCACCATGCATGCCTTCGCTTTCGCGGCGAAGAAGGTATCAATGACCTCGCACTGTTCGCGCGGGAGAGGCCATTGCCTCGTGACACAATACTTTGTGCCGGGCACGAGATCAATCTCATGCCGTACGCCTCGATTGGGTGGGAGTTGGGTCGGTGGGTGTTTGTTCACCACGTCCGCATACTCCGGATACACCGGATCCCTGGGGTTCTTAAGGATCTCAGAACCCAAGCACGTCTGACGCTGCTTGTTGAGGTCTTCCAGGACGTTCTCGTCCAAGGCAGAGGAGGCGTTCAGCTCTCTCGAGTGGTCTCAGGTCTCATGAGCACCACAGCCTTGAGGTTGGCCACTCGACCGTCATTTCCTCGAGGTTCAGTATCTCTGCAACCTCTGGCAGCGGTTCCAAGTGGACACCAGATGCCTTGACGGGTAAACCGGTCTCGCCATCGAAGATGTGATAACACTCTTCCACCGGCCTTGTCGGAGGAGCCCGGGCCCTGGACTCCGAGTCGCTAGAAGCGACGTCGATCTGAACGAAGTTCGGATCCGACTTGAGGCGGCGGCGGCGTCGTTGACGACGGCGACTGTGATGTGGAGCTTTGCTGCCCACGTCTAGGGATGTCGGCGCTACGACATCCGAGGCACTCGTGGCCTCGTGTGGTACTGTGGTACTGTGGTACCCACAGGAAGCGTGTTCGACGCTTTCCTCTTCAGTTAAGGTCTGGGCGACCGTGAGTGGAACTCTGTTACCCACTCCGAACACGCTGCTCTCAGTGTTCGTAGCAGCTGCAGCTGTCTGCGGAACTAAGTTACCCGCTTGTGGACCTAAGCTACCCACTTGGCCAGCGCCTCTTCTGGGCGCTGCCACCATCAAAACATCCTCGGAGTCGTCATATACGTCGACGACTCCCAAGCATCTGCCGGATGCTTTGGTACCCTGGCAACCCTTTGCGGGCGCCCCGGGTCCTAACAGAGGTGGGAACATGACTCACCAATGCTCTGTCGGACTGCGCAGGGCGGCTGGCACCGATTGCCTTGCCTCGCCAGTCGATCCAAGGGCTCGTGCTCCTCAAGCCAGGGCATGCCCAGGATCATATCATATGGATCCATATTGAGAACAGTGAACTGTTCGAGGCTGTCAAAGTCTTCAAACTTGACGGCCAGATCCACTTGGACGTTGGGGACAGTGACGACCTTCCCGTCGGCCAGTCGCACTGACACCGTCCCGTTGCCCTTGCTTTCTCTCAAAGCATCGGACAACTTGTTGCTGTTACGAGCAACCGTCTGGCGGCGTGCGAAATTCTTCGACGCCCCAGAATCGATCAAGATTCTAAAGGGATGATCGTATCCCCGTACACATCCGTGTACTACGAGCAACCCGCCGCTGCTCTTCGCCGATTCGAGAGTGCGAAGACTCTCAGGGGCTAAGTCTTCGTGGTACGCGCCACCCACGCACCCATCACGAGGACTTAGTTCTTCCCCAGTAGGGCGCCCCGCCCCTACTGGTTCCCGGCGTTCCCCTGTCCTCGGGATCCTGGCTTCTGCCAGCGACCCTTGAGGACGGGCTTGGGGAAGGACCGTCTGCGGAGTCTTTCCGCGGGACAGTCGCGCTTGAAGTGGCCCATCTTCCCGCAGCCGAAGCAGCGGATGTCACGCTGTTCGGCGGGCCCGAGTTCCATGGGAACTGGTCCGTTGGGGCTTGTTCGACCGGGGCCGACAAGGAGCTCCCAGGTGACGCGGAGGCCGGCGTACGCGCCTGGCGATGGCTGTACTCTTCCTGGAGAGCCACTTGAATCGCCTCTTCAAGGGTGCTTGACTGCACCCGGAACAGCTGAGTGCGTGCGGGGCCCACTCGAAGGCCGTCCATGAACACAGTCATCTTGATGTGTTCATTGAGTGGGTTTCCCACTAGGGACGCCGTGAGCTCCCGTATCTCTTGCACGTACTCGTGCAGTTCACGCCTCCCTTGTTTACACGAGAGGAAGCGCGAACACTGGCGGTACTCGTAGCTCGCCGGGAGGAACGCGGCTCGGAGCTGTTCACACAGCTGAGCCCAGGATGTGAAACATCCAGGGGACGTTGCTTCCCGTGTGTACACCCAACTCTTAGCACGACCGCTAAGGTTGGAGAGTGCAAAAGCAACACGATGTTGCTCGGTCGAGATCAGAGCCGCATCCATCGCGATCTCTACTTATCGGACCCAGAAGTGAAGGTTCTCGCCTTCCTTCCCTTCATACGGCTTAACCTTCAGCCGTATTGGCTTCGGGTGAGGCGGATTTTCTATCGCCGCCGGAGCCTGCAGGCTCTCCCGCACATGCGCGATGAGGCCCTGCTCGTACGCGTCGAACGCATTGACGCGCTCGAGCTGCTCGGCCGGTGTTGACACCACCAGGCTCTGCAGGGCCTCCATCCCGAAGATGCCTGCCATCTTCCGAACCGACTCGAACTGAGAGTCGTTCATATGGGAGAAGTCGTTCCTGTCCATGGCAACGAACTTCGGAGAGGTTCAGGTAGTCTACCCGCGGTGGCGTGGATTGACTACTAGTGCTACCAAGTGTGACGGGGTCACACAGCACCTTGCGCTAGAGGAAGTTATCTTCCGAGAGTATACAAACTCTCAGTGAACGGCAGTTCACAGGTCCCCTCTTTATTCAAAAGAGAGCGAAGTGACCTAATTAAGGTAGAATGTAAACTGAGTATATTTATAGGTAGATAAAGCTTGGGTTTAATACAAACTATAAGTCACCTATAGAAATGCAATGTCGTTAACCAATTGGCTTTGAACGACCTTGGTACTTTGTACCAAATATTCCGAAGTATGACGTGTCACACTTCATGTAACCAGGGTACACTTAGGGCTACGTACCCCGTTACAGAACCCCCCCCCCTAAAATAGTACCCCTGCTTGGGTGACGTAATTCCCCAGGGGCACAATTAAAGGTTTTACAGTGTTACACATGTACCAGTACCAGTAATTTCGAATTTCAATTTTCAGGTAAGGTATATGAGTACATGTACATTTAGCGCTGACTGTGCTAATATCCGCGACAGAAGCAACATGTACCAGTAAGCGCAGTGTAGGCCGATGAAGACGGCGGGAGTTTACACTAATGTTAGTGACTTCACTTTATCGTTTTAACTATTATAATACGTGTAAGGAACCAAGTATCATATGATATTTTTTAGAGTAATAATTTTATTTTTTGATATTAGGTATTAATAGTAACTCATTTTTTCAAAAGTTGATATAGTATTTTATTTTTAACTCGGAGATTTATAAATATTAGATACTATTACAGGATATTTATGATACTTCCACTTAAGTACGTTTCTTGCCACCTTACCCTCTGCTGAGTGAACCGTTTTCGGTCAAATTCTAGAACAGCAAGTAGGCTTTAAGACTGACGAGTATTTACTCTAGTATTTCACTATGACACAGACAAATGCGATCGAGATGTAAAACTGCAAACGGTTTGCAGTTGTTTGAAGTCGATAGAGCGAAGTCAATATTTTATTTCTTTTTATTTGCCGATAGCCTCGTCCACATCGTTCGTCTAATAAACCTGCAGCCTGTGACGCTAGATTAATGCGCTCAGCACGACGTCAAACTTGCCGTCACTCTCACAATTGTCCCGGACTCCATCTCCCTCACGGTTAATTAGTAATACTTCAGCTAGTCGAACGTCTGGTTGGTGGATATAACCCGATTTCGCAATCTTAGAAAAATAAATATATCAGACAGGGGCTAATGGTAACCAAATATCATATGATATTTTTGATAGTAATAGTACTATTTTCGATATTAAATATTAATAGTAGCTCCTTTTTGGAAAAGTTAACATAATATTGTAATATTAACTTGGAGAAATGAAAAGTATTAGATACTACATGATATTTTAAGATATTTTCCCACTTAAGTACGTTTCTTGCCACCTTACCCTCTGTTAGCCGAGCGGAGCCAAATAACTTTTTCGATCAGGTTCTAAAAAAGCAGTAGGCTTTAAAAATGACGAGTATTTGCTCTAGAATTTCACTGTGACACCGACAAAGGCGATCGAGATGGAAAACTGCAAACGCTTGCAGCTGTTTAACGTTGATAGAGCGAAATCAAGACATTTGTTCTTGTTCTCTACCGATCTCCTCGTCCATATCGTGCGTCTAATAAACCTGCTGCCTGTGGCGCTAGATTACTCAGCAGAGGGTAAGGTGGCAAGAAACGTACTTAAGTGAAAAGTATCATAAATATCATGTAATAGTATCTAATATTTTTTAAATCTCCGAGTTAAAAACAAAATACTATATTAGCTTTTGAAAAAATGAGCTACTATTAATATTTAATACCAAAAATAAAAATATTACTCTAAAAAAGATCCTTTGATATTTGGTTACCATTAGCTCACGTCCATTTATCCTCAGATGGTGGGATTCTCAGAATCCACTGGATTATCCATCGATTCCCTGGTGCGTATTACATGTAGTAGTGCCAAGTGAGCTCTTCCCTGTTGCACAAGCTGGGCGTTCACCTACCGTTTTATAGATGTGGTCGATATCCGTGTTTGACAACATGTGTACTGTAGTTCCGCAATGAGTACCAGTTCATGCATAGTGTTGCGTCCCATCGCTTATCATGCATGTACTTGTAAGCATAGTCTAAGAAAAAGCTAAACCCAACTATACTTGTTAACACACCAAAATCGGGCGGGCAGCTCAATTTCAAACCGCTATGCAGACGTATCACCGCAGTATCGTGCGGCTTAAGTTCCGGACGACATCTACTGGCGAGGACTTACTGTTCTAGCACGAAAGAAGAATCGATCTCCAGATGGCTTATTCGCAGTACTCGGACGAGTCCGTCACGGCGGTGCTGTCCGTCGTGTTGCTGGCCTGCGTCGTTGAGTCGTCCGTGGAACCACCAGCTTCGGTGGTATCGGCAGTGGCCTCGCTGCTAGCGGTAGATGCACTAGCTGCTGTGCTGGCAGCGCCGCCACTGGTTGCAGTGGAGGCAGACGCGCAGGTGGTACCGTCCGTGTTGGGCTCCGTCAGTGTGTAGTCCGGGTCACCCGACTTCCAGGTGCAACACGGATCACCCAGGGCCTCGCCGCAAGTAACCGAGCCGCCGGGCCACGTCTGTGAGCATACCTTGGACCACTCGGTCCCGTCGTCCGAGAAAAGGGTGCCGAAATCTGTGTAACCCGTGTCCGAATGACCCAACTTCTTGCCGATGTTTTCTCCGTTCGGGATGAGCTCCATGTAGCTCGAGTACGCGGACGTCGTCTGCACAAAGGCGGCTGCCACGACGACGATCGGAATGGTGGCCAGCATACTGGTGTTTCCTGTTTTGTTTTTGCGAGACTCGGAGACTGCACTCAAACTGCGCTGTCGTAAAATGCGAAATGGGGACTGTCCTACATGTACAGCTTCGGATCAGTGCTTTGCAAATTGCAAGACGGGTTGGGTTTTGGCGGTGGCGGCCAGACTTTACGGATGCTCGGGTGGCGATCGGCTCCGCGCCGAAGCTTTTACCATTGCGCCGCCTCTTCTCTGAATGCGATTCAACAACATCCGACAGCGTCGTTTCCAGATGGAGGACTACACGTTCAAATGGGTGGATTCGCTGCTGGCCGCACCATCAGAATGGCCGCCATGGATCGTGACTGCAATGAGCTCGATTTGTGAAATGGGCAGGATGTCCGCTGCATGGACCTGTCGCTCATGTTTAACACTCCTCCAAACTGCATTTGCTACAGTACAGTACTGCACTCCGTTTTCGCGACCTTGGACCTTTGATAAACTTCCGGATGTGATGATCCTGAATGCATATGAGCTATCACTTGTAAGTTTAAATCTGATTTATTTGCAAATCCTATATGGTCCACCCTTGCTAAAACGGGGTGCAGTACTGTACTTCGTATGAAGAATACCGTACTGAACCATTGTTATTGGCTTCTTCTTCTGGCATGTCCTTGCTCGGCTTGGGGTCCTTGACTTAAGAATACTGGTATCCTCTAACGAAACAGCAACATCCGGTCGCGGACACTTTTTAAAGTGTTGAAACATTAAAAAGTACACGCGGCACACAGTGCTTCTTGCTGTATCCGACAATGACTGCACTAGACCAAGATGAAAACCCATTTCGCTCGCACTACATGTACATGTACAGTACTATAATAAATTGGATATTCGAGCTAACGTTGCAAAAACAGTACGGCGTAGATCCACGTCGCCGGGTTGCTAAGAGCTCGACGTTAACTGCATAAAATCTGTGTGGAACTTGCCAAATCAAGGCCAGTTTTAAGACCCCACTTGATCGGTACCACAAAGCAATATTTTCCTAACTATTATAAAATCAAGCTCGATTTTTGTCTCAGATAATTCGGATCTAAAAAACGGGAAGCGATAACGAAATTTCGTCACGTACCGCACCGCACTTGCCAATTTTCCACCAAACAGACCTCGTTCTCGTACTGTACAAATTCCCAACACGTCCATGCCGAACGTGCTGCAGCAACCCAAGGACCTGTACCACACAATGCGTGAGACGCTATTTGCGCGATTTGTGTTCGCCATCCTCACGCCCTTCATCTTCGTGCTCGGGGCACTGCTGCGCTCACGCTACCGCAAAGTCAACGGAGAACGCACCCCAGGCCTGACACGCTACCGGCAATGACACAAGCAACAACCAACACGCAGCAGACATTCTATTTGGATAGGACCAACAGAAAAATATACTACAGTAATAATGAACGGTACAATCAGCAGTTTCACAACACCGTCCACTCATGTTCCTCATATCCTATTTAAATCGTGACATTTTTTTTTCATGAGGTCTCCGCTCTCTCGCCGCGTTCTACTTGCTACTGCTGTTTGGCTGAGTGTCAGTGATGTTGCAGTCGTGATGGGAGAAGGAGAGGAACCCGCGCACCCCGTGTGTCGCTTTGTTGCCAAGGACACACTGTCCTTTTGCTCCATGGTGGACTACATGACAGTAGTCGACGCCGACGATCCTACAGGGACAAAATTCGACAGCAAGGCCGAATTTTACTACCGCAACGTCGACATTGTGCTCCAACGCTTTGGCTGTCACGCCAAGTACAGCGTCTACGGATGCGACGACTGCCGGGAAGCGTACAAGTACTGGATCTGCAGCATTAAGTTCCAAAAGTGCGGCTCACAGACTGTGACGACCGATAGAGGCGCCACAAAGCTGGTCTATTCGACGGACACGTGCGACTACTCGACCACGGCGACGACCACTTCAACGATGGCGAGCAGTACCAAAAGTAGCAAAACGACCTCTTCTTCTTGTGTCGAAGGCTCTTCTGGACGTTATCGCACGTGTCTATCGATCTGCGAAGATGTCGTGAGGAAATGCCCCTATGTGCTCAACTTTCAGTGCCCGACGGTAGACTCTCGCAGCAAAACTGCCTGCTATCTGTTGATATAGCCTTATACTCATTGGCCGTTGTTTGCTTGACAGACCGAGACGCCCTTCTTCTCAGCCGATATCGCAACTTGCAATAAGCTAGACCGAGCCGCCAACCCGGATCGTCCAAGTCGCCCGTGGCCAGGCACATTTGCAGACGCGTAAAAACGATATTAGTTCGTCTTGCAGCTTTCGCGTACCTGTCGGTACCTGTCAGTTTGAAGAGAAACCCAAAAACGAGACGCAGAAAACGTGGGCTATCGTTGTAAACCTTGGGCGTCTCGTTCGTAGGCTTCGAATTCAAGGTAAAGTGAGAATAATACATGCAATGACTGCACATAATTGTCTTCGTACACAGGAATATCCAACACGGCGCAGACAATCTTCACCAACTCCTTGAAACTCAATTCCAGTTCGGATAGCGCAGGGAATGCATCACCTCGAGCGGCTAGGTAATCCTCGAGCTCTTCCGGCCACAGCTCCATTAACTGAGAAAGTGGCGGCATGGGTTGCCTGTAGTTTACTTGAGCCAAAGGTTTTGTCCCTTGTATCTTTTCGACGCTGGTTATCCACTGCTCGAGCTCTTGCGGACGGTGAGATGCGTTCTCGATACTTCGCACGACTTCTCTTCTACTGCGAGGTTTGTTCCTATTGGCCACACTCACCTGCATCAGCAGTTCTAGCTCAGCTACATTGGTCTGTCCTGACGGTTCTCGCAGGATGTCAAAGCCGGTGTTGTCCTCTTTGTCGTCCGGCCTTGGTATCTGACCGACGCATAAATGAGATTAGCGGGGGTAATGCTTGGATGGATTAGCTTGAAGTGATACGAACCAGAATGCCATCAAACGGAAGACCCACAGAGGGAGTAAACTCCGGAAGGAACGGCTCCAACCGCGTTTCAATCTCGATATCCAACGGGGTGTAGGCGTCTGTCAGCTATCAACAACGCGCACATAAATCACAGTAAGCATCACACGAAGCAGGTCTAGTATCAGAGCTAGCGAGATCTCACTTCATCCACCTGCGCACAGCTGCTAAAAGGCCACTCACGCTGAAAAGCTCCTCCAGCTCTCGAGGCATCTCCAGATTAAGCTTGAAGTACTGTTGTTGGGTTCCACCGTTACTTGCGGTTGATCTCCGCACGCTTTTCTTGCTGCTAATAGCTGGTCGTGGTGAAGGTGCGTTTGCCGAAGGAGTGAAATCTGCATTGTTGACACGTGCAGCGACTTGGGCCTGCTGGAAAAAATCATTTGGCACGACGCCTCGATACTTTTCAAGGTCCTTTGCAGCCGTCTTGGGTCGGCCTAGCACTGACCGCTCCACTTCTAGCGCAAAGTTGTTGCGATCGCGAGCTGTTCTGTCGGTGCCGTCGTCACTCTCGTCGTCTTCCGAAGAGCTAGAGGCATAAAATTCGACCGCACGCGACTGCTCCACTTCTTTGGCTTCATACTCGTCCTCAACTTCCCCAAACTTGCCTGCAGCTTTCGTATCGAGCTTTTCTGGAGGGATTCTACTGTTGATCGGGATCGCCCCAAAATCTGCTGGAGTGACGCCTCTAATTTGAAGTTTCTTTGCCAAAATCACAATTCAGAGAGCCTTTCAGTCGGAGTATGAATGTGAAAAAAAGAAGCAGAAGCAGCAGAACTCACCTGTGCAATCGGACTCCCAGGTATCTCGGGCGGCTCATCCGAATCCTCGTCCAAGCCCTCATCACGACCAAACCCACCCATGGAATCCCCGCCATGAGCTCCCAGTAGGTCAACAAAATCTTCCTCGCTGCTGCTATCACTGCTCACATTCGCATCACTGCTATCTTCACTTTCACTCGAACGGCCACGGGCTATGCAAACTCCAACAATATCAGCTATGACCTTCCATACCAATGAAAAGCCCGACCAACGACCACGTACAGCGATTCAAAGGGGAGGACGCGGTCGTGTCCACACTGAACAGCATATAATACCACATAGTCAGCCCAGTGTATAAGCAGCTGCACGGAGGGAGTCCGACACCAAGTAATATGCCACACACCTCACTTGCATTTCGTCGTCGAGCTCGTGCACTTCGTCCATACTCTGCTAGGAGAGCAGCAATTCTCTTTCAGCTCCAATCTACTAGTGCAACGCAACGCAGCCGACACCCACAATACCTCGTCATCCAGCAAAACCTTTTCCTGCAACATATTGACCATCAAACTCCAGTTAGAAACCTCCTGTGATCCCTCTCTCCTCTGCAGTCACACCTCGTCGGAGTCACTCATTCCTAAATGCTGGATCTTGAAAAGACGCTGTTCAGTTGCGGTAAGTTTATGTTGCGGGTTCAATAAGTTGCGGAAGCTGCCCGCAACTTATCCACCCTGAGCGCCGTCGTAACCTGTCATTCCCGATACAAGTAGTCATGGCCGAATTCCAGGCCATCATCCTTGCTGGCGGTCGCGGTATCCGCCTGTATCCTCTGACCGAGGAGACGCCTAAGGCGCTACTTCCTGCCAACGGCAAGCCGCTACTCTGGTACCAGCTGCACCTGCTGGAAACGTCGGGCTTCACGGAGGTGCTGGTGCTCACTATTCCAGACCTTCTACCCCCTCTTCAGGACTATTTGACTCGCGAATTCGACGGTAAAATCCACGTGGAACTGTGCGAGGTGGCGGACAACACTGAGACGGCCGACGCACTGCGAGAGGTGGCCGATAAAATCAAGCGCGATTTCATCGTGCTGGCCGGAGACCTGGTGACGGACGTGGTACTGCACAATGTGGCGGACTTCCACCGCATCAACGACGCCAGCGTCACGATGCTACTGCGTCAAGAGGCCCCTGCCAGCAAGGCCAAAGGAGAGAAACCACGTCGTGACAAGGACCTGACGGACTGCATCGCGCTCGTTGAGGGCCAGCGCGACGAGGAGAACCGCGTCGTTCTGGTTTCCCAAGCTGTGCACATGAACGAGGATCTGTACGTGGCCAAGAGTCTGCTCAAGCGTCGCAGCAACTTCGTGCTGCACACGGACCTGTACGACGGACACTTTTACTTTTTCTCGCACTGGGTATTGGACCTGCTGCAGGAGAAGAAGTACATTGCCAGCATCAAGGCCGACCTCATCCCCCATCTCGTGCGTCGACAGTTCCGTGGGAAGGAGGCACTGCCCGAAAGCGTGAGGAGCAAGGCTACTAGTAAACAGGAACTCGCGGCCTCACTTTCGCTGTCAGAGGAGAAACACGACCCCGAGGATCTCGTGCGTTGCTTCGCCTACGTGCTGCCGTCGAACGCCTACTGCGAACGTGCGGACACCACCCCCGCGTACAGAGCTATGGACGAGGAGGTCAGCTCGCGACTGCGCATTAAGCGTTCGAGTTCCATCTCCAACTAGATAGATGCCTTCTGGCAGTGTCTGGCTGGCAGTGCTCGAGTGACAAGTAAATAAAGAGGCATTCGCTCGTTGACATCCCTCTTAGTAATTTTATTTATGGTCGGAAGTCCACCACAAAGTGGTTCAAACATTTTTCTTTTTCATTTAAATAATCTGCCCCCATTTTTTTTTCTCCATCGCCTCCTGTTACCTCAAACGTAACCACACAACTACGAAGCGTCCTCGCTCGTCTCCATCAACGCGAGACTCGCCTCGCTATTGCACAGCACAGCAGCGATCCGCTGAAACTCCGTTCTCAGTGCGTTTGCATCCAGCACCTGTCGGTATCTACCTCCCATTTCACTCGCAACCCGCTGCAGTACCGGCAGATTAATGCATCCAAAGCCAACAGCAAAAGCCTTCAAGTCGTACTTGGCGTAGCTTAAGCGAATATGACGAGCAAGTGCGACGCCCATTTCGATGTCACATGGTTGACCGTCCGAGAAGAAGATCAGCACCACCTTAAACTCCTCAAAGTCGTTGCGAGATAGAACCTCATTCGCAGCTCTCAAGCCTTTACCATAACTGGTGCCTCCCCCACCAAATGGCACCGACATCTCCAAGGCTTCAGGCAGAGGCACACCCTCACAAAAGATGCGTCCTTCATGGTCAAACGTCACGTAGGAAACCAGATCCTTTTCTCCTCCGTCTTTCAGCCGACTGATGCCAAACTCGTCGCATGCGCACAGCAAATCCTTCCACGGCTGGCCACTCATCGACCCGGAGTTGTCCAGAACGAAGACATTGTGATACTTTCCTGTATCTGCAGCGTGCACGCACTCAAACTTGTGGCCATCCACGTAAGCAAACCCATCGTCAGCTCCGTCAGGTTTGAGTTCCGGTAGGTGCCAAGCATCCAGGACACAATAGGAAGCTTCCTCTCCGGCGTTTTCGTGCTCTGGCGCATTGCACTGGAACGAGCACTTTGAAAACACTGCACGCTCTTCTTCACTGCAGGGATCTTCCCAACCGATCGTTGTCCAGAATTGAGCGTGCAGCAGCTCGTCCATTTCTCGATCTGGCGGGGGGAACAGCTCGTCCATGCAGTGACGCCGACGATCCTTATTGGCACCCGAAGTGTAGACGCATTTTTCGTCTCCCTTGCTCTCACAGGGATAGTAGTGAGGATGGCCACGCCCCATCTTGGCGCAAAACAGGTTGCACATTTCGGCAATACCTCGCTCGCCCACTTGGTACTTTCGATCCTCAATATCGATGTCTTTACCCTTCGCCATGAAGTACGTCTGCCGCATGTTGCCGTGAGAGGTGGCGTGTAGCCCCATGTGACCAAAGTGCTTGTTGCAGTAGTAGCTGCAAGATGGACACCTCACATCGCAATAGTGGACCGTGTTCTGGTCGCCTTCTCCAGTGGATTGGGCGAGACAAGAATGGTCGACTCCGTTATGATTCATCTCACCACTAGGTACCACAAGCGTGCAGTGCTTCTTGCAGCCATTCATCTCTTGGTAAATGTACTCGAATGAGCCTCGTTTGCCAGGATAAGTCCGAGCTGACTTCTTCAGGTGAACTTTTTGTTCGCAAATACCATCCACAGTGCACATTTCTCCGCAAGCGTGACTCCCAGTACACATGTGCGTAGCTGCAGCATAATCCACGGCAACTTCACTCACTCCACTTTCGATCGCAAAAGCGCGAGATTCCGCAGCCTGTCCGTGGAAATGGTTTTTCTCTCCGCAACTGCATTTGCACTCCCTCATAATACATGGATGGATGCACTGCACTTCCGCACACTTGTGAACGGAGTGTTCTCGCTGGATATCAAGTAAGCACGTAGCACTGCAGTCCGTTGCGGAGCATGTAGCACCACACATATGCACCAGTACGGAGCAGCAATGGTCCCCGCTATGGTCCGCCAGTTTGGAGCAGATTTTGTCGCAATTGGAGGCTCGAGTTAGGACACAAGGTTGGCCACAAGTGTGATCTCCTTTCTCGCACTCGCATTTCCCTTCATGGCCAGCACTGCGAGAGCAGGGAGGAACTTGAACCGCTTTCGATTCCACTCGGCACTCGTCATATTCACATTCCCCTCGACACTGGTGGTCTGTGCAGCAGCTGTGCTCCATCTCGGACGAGTGCGTCACAGATCGCATGCAGCCAAGCTGACACTGTGCACACTTTTGCTGGCATCGCGACATGTAAATGATAACTGGATCCACATGGCGTTGCTCTAGCTGTGTACGAACCTCCGACAAGTGGTCACCAAGGGAGCCGTGAAGCCAACGCGACACCTTCAGTTTTCGACGGCGCAATACAAACGCCGCAAAGGCGTCGAAATCGCTCTGATCTTCCGTTGTAAGTCTTGAACCTTCACACGTTTTGCCACGCAGCGTCAGAAAGTACTCGAAGAGCCTATTAATCGTCGTCCCCACTGTCTGGACGTCCTTGCTCGAGAGCGAACTCGCATCAAACCCCATGTCGAGCTTCTCGTCTGTGACGGTATCCAGTCTAATGATATCGTTCAGAGCCACCCACTTGCTTTCGAAACCAGGAAACGCTTTGCACATTTCTCCCAGCGAAACCTCGAGTCTTTCTTGAGAACCAACTTTCAAGACGTCTTCTTTCAGATGCGGTAAGATGACTTTATCTTTCACCAACAGCAACGGAACGTGGCAACCTGTACGAAGGACACCAGGAAGTTTCTGCTTCGCGTCTACGACAACGAAAAGTTGCGTGCTCTTGTCCATGCTGGTCCAGTCTAAAATCGAGATTTTTGCCAGCACAATTCGCAGACAATCCAGGAAAGCTTTACCCGTCACAAACCCCATGGATGACCCCGATACAACCTTCATTAACGCACTCGCAGCGTCGTTCTCCATACAGTTGTAGTAGTCCATCGTACCAAACGGTGGCGTGCAGTTGATCTCTAACTGGCCAGCATACATTTCCGTGAGAAAGTTTTGGTCTCGATTAGCCTCAAAAATCGTGTCCAGCTTTGCTACCAGCTCGTCAACGACACCCTGTCGATCGTTCATGTTGACGTCCTTAACACTCATGTACAAGAGTCCACGGAAGAGACGAGAATCGTTCTTGATGAGCTGGACTCCTTTCTGGAAGCGGGAGAACAAACCGTCAATATCCTTGTCAAATCGGCTCTCCATTCGAAACACCGTGAACAGCGACACGGACGCATTCAGAACCGACAAGAAGATGTCTTCTTGCTCCGATCGCTCGAACGTTCCCAGCCCCTCAAAGTCCAGGACTACCAGCAGCACATCAGACACAAATCGCAGAGACATCCAAGCTCCGTCCGTACACCGAGAGCCCGAGATCGCAAAGGAAGTTCCAGCGAGATGGTTCAAGAAGTAGCTCTTACCTGTAGACTGCTTCCCCATCGAGGTAACCACGATACATCGACCATTCCACGACTCCAGAAGTGGAGAAAGTAGACCGAAGCGTATCGACTGTGCAATCTCCGACGCATCTGTACCCGCTGCGTCACCTTCGCTACTTGAACTCGTTCGGGCGGCTTCGTTAGCACTGCTAGTGTTATCTTCGCCGTCGTGGAGCAGCTTTAGCATATTGGCTTCAGCTCGGCATATCTGGACTGGGACAAACGAAACAATCGTCACCAGAACACGACGAAGCGATGTCTTCTTCAGAGCGGTGGAGTTGCAAGAGGATCGGAACTTCAGCTTCTTCGCCAGGTTCAGTCCGGACAGGGGCTTGTTAAGCCGACGCAAATCTGCCATCAGTCTGTTGAAATACGCCATACATACCGCAGCATCAGCATCTGCTTCATCCGTAGTACCGCCTGGAACAGCAATCTCCAGCTCGAGAGAGAACAAGACATCCGGACTCACGGACATATCGATGAGACTTTGTACAGGAAATTTCTCAAAGACGTGGTAAAATACACGCAACCAATGCTCAGTTGCAACTTCTTTTCCTTTTTCATCGGCTTGTAAGCGGCAGCTTTTTGCACCATTTCCAGATCGCTGGATGCGGTAGGCATCACTTCGCACAGTAACACTTAGCTCAGATGCGTAAACTGTGCCACTGCTAGTGTCAACCACGTACAGGACGTCATCCGTGCTACCAACGTCAAGCTTCGCCAGTGGAATAGTCTTTCCGAGAGCTGCGGTGGGTAGTGCCCGATGATCTTCACTGGAGATGCAGCTCAAGACCAAGTGCTTGCTTTCGTCCATTCGGGTTCGACCTACCACGAGCTCATCCGCCAAAGCCAGAAGACCGCCAACCCACTGGCCGTCAACACCGCGTTCTGCCTTGCAATCAAGCGCCACTTTCTTCGAGGTTCGGCGAGTTCGTACGTCAAAGGACTGGAAGAATCCGTTTCCGTCGACAGCACACAGCGAACGCTCGGTCAGTAAAATATCGACCAGAGGACTACCCAAACCAAACGAAGCATCCATATTGACGCTTAACGTTGCCTCGACACTTGTAAAAGATTCGTTGAACCTGCAGAACGCAACGTTCCCCAGGCCTCCCAGGCCAACCCCAAACAAGAAAGCAATACGGCGGTCACTTGCTCGGATTGAGCACAGAGAGCAGGCATGCGGGAATGTTCGTATTTCCGATTGCTCGGCTTTTGATTTCTTCAGTGGCGCGAACTGGATTCGGCGTACTATCGTGCGGTTTTCTTTCACGAGGATAGCGATGACCAGCCCTACTTTCACTGTTGCAAGCTTGAGTAACTGATATCCTGGCTCAGTTTCCAGAGTTCCCATCGGTGAAATTGGTTTGCCGCCATGTAGTTGATACATCTGAATCTCTTTTGTTGGCTCTTTTTCAGCTTCTTCGCTCCATTTAATATTGACAGCGGTGCCGTCTGATGAGCGCATCAGTTTATGGATCACGATACTAAGACGCCCATCGCCAGCTTTCAAGTTATCACGAAAGCAGCCAAACGCTCTTTTCAGCACAGTCTCTCTCTCCCGATCAAGGTGAATCTCGCGATCTCTGGTGGATTGCTGAACCCGTTGTTCCCACGTTGAAGCTTGCACTGCGCCGACAATTTTTTCGACAGCATCCACCCATAGGCTCTCCAGCCATGGCTGCTGCTCTTCCATTGCAAGGCAAAAGTTAGTGCTGAATTGAGAGTCTTTCCGCCAAAGCCACTTCCAAGTGTCCTGTATTACCCCCAGCACCAAATTTCGCTTATTATCTTCATCGTTGGACGGTTCGCCAATCACAATCGTGTTCAGAACACCTTCGAACGCAGATCGATGGCGCTGGAATGTACTATAAAGCAGCTCCATGTGAGCTTGAATCCGTTCCGGCAAATAAATCATCGAGTACGACTGATACTCCATATTGGCGAAGACACCATGCTCCCATTGCCGTAGTAAGCTCTGGTAATGACGCAGCGCCGAATCCAATTGTGACGATTTTGCCTGGCATCCGACCGCGAACAGTAAGTGAACGTCTTTAACTGCATCGTCGTAGACTTTCTTTGCATACTCAGTGGCTTCCTGATTTAATCGATGCTTTGCTTTCTCTAATTGCTCATCAAATGTAGTTCGTAGTGCATGAAGCTCTTCTTGGGGAAATTGACCAAACTTTTTAAGCAGATTGTTGCGCGCATCCACCAATTGCATCGGTCTATTTGGAAGCTCGATCATAAATCTTTCATGCTTCTTCATCAGCCACTCGGCAAAGCTATCATATGGAACGTTGTCTTTGCATGGGATCCACTCGGTTTTTGCAGGCGTCGATCTTTGTACTGCTACAGCCGGAAACGCTCCACCAACAAACCACACGGATTTCGCACGGTCAAATCGTGGAATCGACACCTTTGTAACTTCACCAGGCGATATGTCATCCTTTTGCTCCACTTGCTTTTGGACTCGAAACGCGACTGAGCACGAGTTCCATCGAGTGCTAGAGCTGTGAGATATTGCATTCACCTCGCTCTTCACACGTTGAAAATCATCTTGCGATACACAACACGTGATGTTCGAGCTTAGCGTAAGGAGGAACCGAAGCACATACGCTGGGGTGTTTCGAATGGCTTCACTTGTGAACAACGTCGAGTCGAGCCAGGCAAAAACGACCAGCTGACGACGATCTCCACTGCCTCCGATGCAGTAAACACCTTGGTCTTCGCTGGACAGCCCATCGTCACATTCGCTAGTCCAGAGCCCCATTCGAGTAAGTTCTTTCTTTACTTGCGGCTGCTTGCCGAACAAACAGCCAATCTCGACCTGATCTTCATCTCCTCGCTCTTCCCCTCGGGCGGTCCCAGTAGCCAGCTTTTCACGAATGAAGCGCGCAAAGTCAACGTCGTAGTCACTGGAGTTGAACATGCCGAACTCAAAATTGTGCTTGGACACTGGCTTGTCCTCGTCCGACGTCGCCATACCCAACAAGCGACACAAACGTAGCACGTCCACTTCATCCACCACAGCTTTCAGCACTTTGACGTCGCTTTGCATCTCGTGCTTCAAGCGTAAGAGACGGAAGCACTTGTCCGAGACCACAACACTATGCTCATAGTTCTTGCGAGCCATGCTCTTCTTCGGTTCACTTGGCGTCTCGGCGGCAAAAGGCACAATGAGCCGTGCAAACGTTTCTTGCTTCCTACCGAGAGGCTGATGCTTTACGACTGTGCCAATGCCGTTAGGGCGGACACCGTCCATGATTCCACAGCCTTTTCATACCAAAAGTTGAGCAGAAAAACCGTTAAGCCTCGACACGAATCGAATTGGACGAATTGGAAGCCTCTTCTGTCTATTCAAACCTGGTCATACCCACATCACGCGCGTCTCGTTTGCCGACGGTTAGAAGGAAGAGAAACTGGAATGCTCGACTGACGTGCCTTGCAGAATCTGTTCAATGGGCACGCGCTTCTGCTCCATGCTATCGCGGTCTCGAACTGTCACGCACTTGTCCTCCAGAGTATCGAAGTCCACAGTTAAGCACATGGGCGTACCGATCTCATCCTGGCGACGGTAACGGCGACCAATGCTGCCAGTCACATCGTAGTCGACACTAGCACTTCCACACAAATCCTCGAAAAGCTTTTGCGCCACATCCAGCAGCGGTTCCTTCTTCACAAGTGGCAGCACAGCAAAACGGTACGGCGCAATGTCCGGATGCAAACGCAGCACGGTACGTTCGCGGCCGTTCACTTCCTCTTCATCGTAGGCATCCAACAGCATAGAGAGCATGACACGTCCAGCTCCGAGCGCCGGCTCGATGACGTGTGGTAGAAATTCTTCCTTAGCCACGAGGTCCTGATACGTGAGGCTCTTTCCACTTGCATCCATGTGCTTCTTGAGGTCGTAACTGGTGCGGTTCGCAATGCCCCACAGCTCACTCCAACCGAACGGGTACTTGAACTGAATGTCCGTCGTGGCGCGTGCGTAGTGTGCCAGCTCCTCTGGTGCATGTTCGTGCTTTCGCAGGTTCTCGGGCTTGATGCCGTACTTGGTCAAGAAGTCGTAGCACTGGTCCACCCAGTAAAGATACCAGTCGTCCGACTCGTTCGGGTGCGTGAAGAACTGCAGCTCCAGCTGCTCGAACTCGCGCGTGCGGAACAAAAAGTGGCCAGGTGAGATCTCGTTGCGGAAGCTCTTCCCCACTTGGCCGATACCGAACGGCAGTTTCTTCCTCATGGTGCTCTGCACGTTGGCAAAGTTGATGTAGGCGCCCTGTGCCGTCTCCGGACGGAGGTAGATCCAGTCGCACGTCTCGTCGGTCGCCCCCATGTTGGTGCGGAAAAGCAGATTAAACGTCTTGGCTGGCTGGAAGCTGTCGGTTTTGCCACAATTGGGGCACGCGACGTTGTGCTCTGTAAGCAGATCGTCCATCTGGGATAGCGACAATGTGGCCACGGCGTCGACCTCCTCTTGGGTCTCTAGCTTCGACTCCAGCAGTTGGTCCACGCGGACTCGTGAGTGGCAGCTTGAACAGACCGTCATGGGGTCTGTGAAGTTGTCGACGTGGCCGGAAGCCGTCCAGACCGCCGAATTGAGCAGCACGGCGCTGTCGAGGCCCACGCAATTCGGACGTTTCTGCACGAACTCGAACCACCAGCGGTCGATCACGTTCTTCTTCATGAGGACACCTGGACGCCATTGCAGCGGTTAAGGAACAAAACATTGTAATGGAGAGAGAGGAGGGGATTTTACCGAGCGGTCCATAGTCGAAACTGTTGGCCAGGCCGCCGTACAGCTCCGATCCTGGGAAGACAAAGCCGCGATGACGACAGAGAGCCACTAGACGATCCTGCAGGCTGGCAGTCCGCTTCGTTGCGAAACCGCGTCGAGCGGCGCTCAACGAACTGCGGGTGGACCGATGCAGCATGGCGGTGGTTGACACTTAAGCGCAATTAAAGGCCGTTGCTTGGAGCGACCTACAGGCGACCAAAAGAATTCGGTTCACATTTGACCCATAAATAACCAAACGATACGTTATTTACGGTTCCCTTACAGCACAGTGTACATGTACTGTGCAGGACCAAGGAAGGAGACGCTGGTGCGGTTGCTGCTGAGCGATGGATTGGAGACGGTGGAAGCCTGGGCAGCTGCGCTTGATGGTGAAGATGCCGATGGAGGCATTGTAGGCGCTGTGGTAGATAGTAAAGGAAACGGGGATCAAGTTTGTGCACCACTAATCCGTGCGATCAATGAGGTTGTGCCTTACTTACCGGACTACAAATCGGTTTCCGCCAAATTGACGGCACTGTTTAGCTACGCCGAAGAAGAATACTCAAGTCGAGTGAATGAGCTTATACAAGGGTGGCTCTGTGGCCGACGTCATACCGTTCGTTTTCGGAGATGGATTCTCCTCGACTGGCTAAAATGCGGCCATCTGACGGCGGCGGATCTACATGAGTTGCTACAGTGGAGACACACGTTATTTGTAGCGGCTGTTAATGAAAATGTAAAGCCGCTGAAGCGGGCGCTCGTGGATGACCTCAACACAGTCGACGAGACCATCGAGGAGCAATTTAAAGACTGCAAAGTGATGACCGAGACTGCAGATACTGCGATACCATCCATGAAGACTGTTGAGGAGCTGTTGGATTTTTGCTTCCTGCACGCTGAGCAGTTGGCAACTTGCAGTCTCCTTTGCGCTGCCAAGTTACACGCACTGGCGGTGCGGACCCAGAGAAGCCCAGCGAGGCTCGCGGAGGACGACGAGGTGCTGGTGAGACTGCGGTGGTCGTTTCTGCTTAAGCCAGTGCTGTTCAAACCGCTGTTACAGCATGCCGTCGCATTGAAGACTATGTCACGCAAAATCATGACATGGAATAGTGAAGAGCTGGGACGCCTTGTGGGGCTGGTCGATGTTACCGATCGGGTGGCGGTCTTGGAGGAGATGCGTGCTAGCAGAGACGAGTTGGAGCGTGGATTCAGGGCTGGCGTCGAGCACATTCATAGCTCGGCGTCAACATCGAAGAAGCAGTCAGCCTTGGAAACTCTTGTGGCCGAATACCTCAAATCACTTTCAGACGAGAAGAGAAAGTCACTGATGGCAGAGCTCGAACGAGACCTGGACGAGGCACCTCCCCACTTGTTTCCGTCCGTCTTCCTGTTCTTCGGATTAATTTTCAAAGCGATGACCTTGTTTTCGGTCCCTGAAGAGCAGGAGCAGGACCAAGTCGTAGAAGCAGTTAGCATCCTCTGCGCGCTCTTTGACCGACGCAGCCACGACCCCAGTAGCTACCTGGATGTTCTGAGTCTGCTGGTTCGTTTTCATGGGCCCTCAAACTTAATCTGGCACAATAACGCGCTCTACCTCCAAACCATTGAGTCCCTCTCAGCGACTGCAACGCTGCAAGTCGAGCCTAAATTCAAGTGGGCAACCAGGATGGTGCTGCACCAACTTATATTCGAGTGTGACGTCCGTCTTCTTATACAGAACAAAGTCAATCTGTCCAAGATTCTTCCTCCGCGCACAATGCGCCAAGTTTCAATCCGGCTCGGCGCCTACTAATAAAAAGAGCATTCTATTTTTTTTTTCCACGACGTTTCCGCCTACTTGCAATAGCTTACCCAACAACACAAAACACCATTTAGATAGTGTACCCTATGTTGTTCAAAAAGAGAAATCTGTTGGTTGGCTTGCTCGGCAGAAGGTAGAAGTGAAAGTGAGAAATATATTCAAAGGAGTTTTTAGTTGGATTCTATATGCACACTACACAATAACCTGAAAAGACACGCGCCTACACTCGATCTGATTGGTCCCAATAGTGAAGCCAAGTCAAAATGTCGTACCTTCAACATTGCCGACTCGACACTTGCGTAAAGGTCCTTGGGGGTCTGGCTTCCGGTCGCCTGCCCGTTGGCTGGCTCTTACATCAATGTCCAACACTCCTCCCCAGAGCCTCGGGGTTCCTGAATCACTCGATGTCGACGAGTCCGATCTTCCCCCGTAGCTCCTTCACCCGTGGCGCCGGTAGCGCCTTCGTCAGCAGGTCGGCAAGCATTTCCGCGCTAGCCACATACTCTGGCACCACGATGCCCTTCTTGACGCAGTCTTGGATGAGCTTGAGCTTGACGTCCACGTGCTTCGCCTTGGCAGAGCTTGTTTCGCTCTGCACTTGCACGATAGCCGCTTGGTTGTCCATCAGCATGGCCATAGGCAACTTGGTGGCGATATCCAGCTCGCCCAGTAGCTCCTTCAGCCCGAGTAGCTCCTGAGCACCCACTGTCGCAGCGACGTACTCCGCCTCGGTCGTCGATAGTGCCACAGAACTCTGCTTCTTGCACTGCCATGACACAGTCATTCCGTTTACTTGGATGATTGCCGCACTCACAGACTTGCGGTCGCTCTTGTCGGCTGCAAAGTCGGCGTCCGTATACGAGCGCAATCGTAGTGGTAGCCTTTTAGCTTTGTCGTCGCCGGACATATCCATCTTGTGCGATCGGGTGCCACTCAGGTACCTGACGATGCGTTTAGCCAGCTTCCAATCCGCCATCGTTGGTGCATGCGTCCGGCGCGTTGCACAGTGTACAGCGAACATAATGTCAGGACGCGTGCATCTCGCAATCCACAGCAAGCTCCCCACCAGTGACTGGAAATTTGTCACCGTTGGTCCTGCTGACGTGGTCTCCTCTGCCGTGTGCGGAAGTAGTTCTGCCAAATCTGACTCTGCCGCGTCTTCTCCTCCGATCGGCGATCGCACCGAATTTGCTTTGTCCAGCCCAAACTTGGTGAGCATCTCGACGATTGCAGCCTCTTGGTCAAACCTGTAACCACTGAGCTCGTTGTACTGCACGCGCATACCAAGAAAATTGCTGGCAACACCGAGATCCTTGAGCTCCAGGACGGACATGTCAGCGAAGAACTGGGAAACCCTGTTCTCGTCCGTGCCAGTAACCAGCAGGTCATCCACGTACGCTCCGACGACCGTCATTCCACCGCTGTCAGCCTTGAAGTACAGGCACGCGTCCGTAATGCACTGGATGAACCCAAGCTTGACCAGTTCGCGATGAAGGTGCTCATGCCAAAGGCGTCCTGCTTGCTTCAGACCGTTAAGGCTCTGACCAAGAAGTAGGCCAACTTCATCCACGCTCTCAGCTCCGAGCGTCTTCAGCTCTTCCTCCGTGATAACGAGTCCGTCGGGGACGAACAGCAAAATCTCGATACCCTCCTCCGTTTTCGCCTTTACATACGCGTTTGGAACGTCGCCGTGTCTGGCAGGCACATTCCATATGATCGCAATGACGAGAATGAACTTGACACCAGTCATGGTAATCACAGCCGCAAACACGAGAAAGAAGTTAACGCCGAACTTTTGCTCGTTGCCACAGGCGACTAGTCGAGCCTTGTACCGCTCGATCAACCCCGTGTCTGTTCGTTTCTTCTTGTACACCCACGTAGTATGCAAGCGAATGCTACCAGGCTCGAACTTGACCAGCTTCCACGTGTTATTCGCCTGTAGAGTTTCAAGCTCTTCCTTTTCAGCTGCCTCCCAAAGCGCGCTCTCGGCGCACTTCCGCGCCTGCCTGTAGTTCTTCGGTTCCGGGTCATCAGCGTGGGCATTGACGTCCTTAACTTCGGATACGGTCAAAACCACAGGCTCAGTGTTCAGCCTCGACTCGTCAACCTCCACGTCTCCATCAGCTTCAGCACGGCGGCGCGACTTGCGACGTGAGCGACGAGATCTTCGTGGTGTGGAACGTGGTGCCGGTGGCGTCGTCGTCGTGGGAGCCTGAATAGTTGGTGGCTTCACATCGGATTTCTCCTCCAACGCGCGGATGTTCTGCACATGCCTCGTGACGATCACCTTATTCTCCAAAGGCAGGTACACCATGTACCCCTTGGTCGATTCGTCCTTGCCGACGACGACGCCCTCACACGCCCTCTTCTTCATGGCGCGCTTTCCGGGGTCACGAAACACGGGGCACTTTGATTCAAATATGACCATGTCGCGAAGGTTTGGTGCTTCGCCAGTCAGCACTTCGAGCGGCGACTTCCGACCCTCGTTAGCACGTGACGAGCTCCGGTTCAGCACGTACGTCGCGTACTCAACCGCGTCACCCCAGAAGCTCAGCGGCAATCCTGCACCGAACACCATACACCGAGCCATATTGAGAACCGTGCGATGCATCCGCTCCGCCTTGCCGTTTGCAGCTTGGTTGCCGACTTCTGACACCTGACGAGCCACTCCGTTTTCTTTGCAGAAGAGATCCACGTTTCGGTACTCTCCTCCACCGTCCGTGCAGAGAACAGGCACGCGAACGTCGAACCGTTTTTCGAACTCGACAAGAAAGTCCTTGAACTTCTTTGCAGCCAGGTTCTTCTTCTTCGCCATGAACACCTTGCAGTAGTTCGACTTGTGGTCCACGAAGGTAACCATGTAGCGGTTACCTTGGCGGTCAAGTGGCGGCATGGGACCCTTCAGGTCACTGCAGATGACTCCTCCGACTTTGTCGATCGGTGCGTGCTCCCCGGTGTCCTTAGTCGGTTGATTCGCTCGAGTCTGTTTACCCTCAGCACAAACCATGCAGGGCTTACGGTCCCGATTCGATATCTTGATGCCGGATGCGTGGTCATTTGCCATACGCTCAATGGTGTCCAATGACAAGTGACCGAAACGTGCATGGAAGCCCATCAACGTGTCCGTGGCGACGACCGGCGAGGCTGTGTCCGTACTCGTATCCACCACGTTCATGATCAGCTGCTCCATCTTAGCGTTGTTCGTAGCTACCGATTCAAGTCTAGCCACAAGCACGTTGTACTTTACGTCGACATAGAATACCACTTCGTTGCTTTTCATCAGCGCCAACTTTCCGTTGCGCTTGGTGAGAGAGCATCCCTTCGCTATCAGCCGTCCGTATGAGATCAGGTTCTGCGCGAGTTTCGGTGCGTAGTAGACCTCACTGAGCTCCACCTCAGCCGCGACTCCGTCGACAATAGCTCTCAAAATCACCGATCCTTTCTTGGCTACGTCCATCGTTCGCCCATCCGGTAACATGCAGGTGTCCTCACCAGAGCACTGCACTACGTTAACCAGTAGCGCAGGATCATTGACAAGATGTCGGCTGGCACCGCTGTCCAGAATCCAGCTCGTAGCGTCCACGGACTTGAAGTCGTTACCGGCGGCAAGTGCGAACTTTACTGGCTGGTCATTGTTGCTTCTAGCGGAACGATCTGGGCAGTTCTTCTTCAGGTGTCCAACCTTCTTGCACTTGTGGCATCGCCGCGTTTCCTCTTGGGACTCAGCCACTGCGTTCACGACTTCCTTACCAAGATGCTTCGGCGCTCGATCTTCATCGGTCATCATCTGCGCCCAAACGACCAGTTCGTTCGCTTGTTGGAGAGGATCCGGCCGCGTGATGTCACACTTGGCCATCAAGGCGTGCCTCAAGTCCGGATTCGCGTACCTGACGATGTTCTCCAGCACTAGCGTTGGTGACGCGTTTGTTGCCATCATGAGAGCATTCAAGTACAAGAAGTGCTCATTCCACGATCGCGACGGGTCCTTCTTCGTGCCAAAGAGGTTCATTCCTTGTTGCGTCGAGAGCGCCCGCTTGAACGACAAGTGCATCTGATCCATCACAAACCAGAGCGTCGGCTGCGTGGCCCACCAGCGCATGATGTGCTGCTGGAAGAAGAGCTCAGCTTTACCACGTAGATGCTGGCCGAACTTGCTCACCTTGTAGCGCTCAGGCCAGGCGTAGCCACACGCCTGCTCCGCCATCTCGATCTGCTCAATGAACAGCAGCGCCCACTGCTCGAAGCCGCTCCCAAGTCCCTTGTAGACCTCGCTGCCGTCGAAGTTTCGCATGAAGAGCTTCGCATCCTTGGCAGGCGGCACTCTCTCGTTGAGATGCAGCGGCGAAGGTCGATGTGCTTGGTACTGCGCAGCTGGTTGCTGTTGCTGTGGCGCCTGTTGAGCTGCTTCTTGGGCTTGGAACGGTGTGCCTCCTGCTTGTTGCCCAGCACCAAGACCACCATACACCCCAGGCGTCTACGCACCCATGCCGAAGTTCGACGCGCCGAGCTCATGCATCTGCATGCGCTGCATGCCCAAGCTGCCTCCGTGCTGCAGTGCCTGACGGTACACGCTCTGGCCCAGCCCAGCCCCCGCACCGGGTGGTGTGACGGCCGCACGCTGCTGGTGCGTCTCCAGCGACCGCTCTAAGCTGTCCACTTTGGCCGTGAGCTTAGTGATGAGAGCCGCGAGCGCTCCAGCGTCCGGCGTGACCTTCTCTTCGTGATGCTCTTCGCCCCTTTCGTAGGCGGCGGGGAAGGCGGGGACTGCCTCCGTAGCAGCGTCTGCGTCTGAGTTGTTGACCATTGGGCGCATAACCTGTTGGTTTGGCACTTGCTCGGCAGAAGGTAGAAGTGAAAGTGAGAAATATATTCAAAGGAGTTTTTAGTTAAATTCTACATGCACACTACACAATTACCTGAAACGACACGCGCTTACACTCGATCTGATTGGTCCCAATAGTGAAACTAAGTCAAAATGTCGTACCTTCAAC